AAGATGAGTAAATGTGGAGAGGGAGTCCCCTCTCTAGGGAGAGACACTTGTGTATGTGGGAGGCTGTCTTTTGCAGTGAATTATGCACCCTTAATAGCAGGAAACAACTCAACTATTTGCCCCTAACAACAGATATTTTACAATAGCGCCAAAGCTGACAGAAACCAATATCAAAACAATAACCAAAAATACAAATGGCAACAATTGTGAAGCGAAACCCTATAATGAAAAATTGGCAGCATCGGTCCTAGTAAGTCTCTCCTGGTCACTCATAAGCCACAGCGCTGACCGCTTATAATAGTAATTCTCACGACGACTCTATAAGCCTGGCAGGACCAGCTTGCTTTCGTTTTTTGTTTTTTAAGATTTTTTTTTTAATTGGGGAACTGGGGGGATGGGAACAGCGCTGGGGAATTGGGGGGAGGAGAACAGACAAGTTGCTGTCATTTTGTTCTTCAGTCTAGTTGTGGAGGACGTTGCTTCACTGGCCCAAGTTGGCACCATCATTGNCCTTTTCTCCAGTCCAATCAGCTGTGATGAGGAAGGTGCATCACATAAACCTCAGGAAATAGGGGCCATTGTGAGCTATGCAGATATCTCTAGAAGGTGTCTAACCAAGTTACTAATTCACCGTAGACCTTAGAGAAGCCATCTTCCTTCCTGGGACTCAATGCTCTCATTTGTAAAATGAGAGAGCTGATCTGCATCTTTTTTACTTATTATATCTACTACACCTGGCACATGGTAGATGTGTAACAATTGTTTGTTGAATGAAAGAGTGGGTTTGAGCAATCTCTGTGTCACCTTCTGATTCTGATAGTCGGTCCTCTAGAATTCTTACATGTGAGATGTGTGGGTGCTGGGAGCTGACAGTGCGGAGGAAGAGAGAGAGGAGGATATACAGACACTGGCTGGAGATACCCAGGAATGCCAACTTAAGCAGTCTTTTCTCAGGACATCTCTCCAGTGCCAATTCTCTGTCCTCACCAAGCAGGCTTCTGGATGGAATTTGGCTTCTCTAATGGGCTCTGTCCCTGGAGGGATAGTGCCCTTTATAAGCTATTAAACTGGCTTCCTAACAATAGCCAGCACAGTACCATTTGGAAGATATGGTCCAAAGGAGAGGACCCTGGATTTGACTCCGATGTCTAGAACCCAGACTGTTTTACTTATTATGCGATGTGGGTGGGTCACTTAACCCCTCTAAATGTCATTGGCCAGACAGGTATAAGCATATTTGTTCTGCCTTATTCATAACAATGTTTAACCTAAATAATTTAACTACCTTTATGGTCTGCTAGGTAAGATTTTAATTTTGTATAATCCTCACAAGAATTTTATAAGGTATCTACATTATTATCTCCATTTTACAGATGAGAAAACTGTGGCTCAGAGGTTAAGTGACTTGCCTAAGGTCACACAGTTGATGAGCAACAGAGCCAGGTGCCAAACTCTGAACCACTAAGCTCTAGGGCAGCGGTTCTCAACCTGTGGGTCGTGACGCCTTTGGGGGTCGAACGACCCTTTCACAGGGGTCGTGGGGTACTCATATGTGGGAGTATTTGCATGTGGGCCTGGAGACGGATAGAGGAGAGGTGTCTTGGTTCCTAAGACCATCGAAAATATGTGTTTTCCGATGGTCTTAGGCAACCCCTGTGAAAGGTTGTGAACCGCTGCTCTAGTGCCTTTGTTTATGGCCCAGCTATAAATAGACACATGAGAATGTGGTGGTAGTTATTATTATTACTTCCTAGGGCCTAATCCCCCTTAGATAAATTAAACATTGAGGTTACAGACTCGTGGACCTACAAAATCAAAATTTTTACTCCAAAAAAGCAGGATTTCAGAGTTTATTCCCTTTGAGGAAAATAAATCAGTCTAAAAACTATACTATCAGTGGAAGAAACTCAGCTCAAACTAACTTATTCAAAAAAGTGTAGTTTGATGCCCGGCCCGAGCTGAGTAGCCGCTGAGCTGCCAACAGGCGGCAGGATGGCTCAGCTAAAAAAAAAAGTGTATTTATTGGCCTCCATCCTGGGAGGGGCAAGGGTGAGGTACCTGAGCTCCAAATATCCTCAGGGCACTCTTACCACCTCATAACTGCTGCCTTCTCCCAAGAGCATCTTCTCATGGGAGCACAGCTGTTAGCAGTTCCAGGGTCATATCCCAACAGATCTACAACTAGAGCTGAGATGGGATTTCATTTCCCAGATAGAGATTTAAAAACCTCAGTGAAGGGCCGGCCAAGTGGCNTTTTTTTCCATTATGAAATATTTAGGACCTATATATAAAATGTATAAATAATTGCGCACCCTTGTACTACCACCATCACTCAGCCTAAGAAATAAAACAATACCAATACAGTAGAATGCCCCTGGCACCTGTCCCCAGTCACACCCATCTCCCCAATTAGTAGGAGAATATCCTGCTTTTTATCCTGACTATTTATACAGCATAGGTTTGGATAGTTAAGCAATATTGTATTGTTTTGAATATTATGAATGTTTTGAAACTTGAGGAAAATGTATGTGGTTTACATTCCTCTGCAACTTGTTTTTTTTTCATACAACAGTGCGTTGGTGAGACTTATTCATGTTGATGCGTGTAGCTCTAGATCAGAGGTCAGCACACTTTTCTGGAAGGGATAGTAAATACTTTAGACTTTGTGGGCCCAACATCCGTGGCAACTACTCAGCTCTGCCATTAGGGTGTGGAAGCAGCCACAGATGATATGTAAATGAGTAAACATGGCTGTGTTCCAATACAACTTTAGTTACAAACGGGCAGTAAGCTGGATGTGCCCCGTGGGCCATAGTTTGCTGACTCCTGCTTTAGCCCATCCTTGCTGTATAATGTTTCATTATATGTCTGCACCACAAGTTATTGACCTGTTGTCTTATCGACATATATAGTTGATGGAATTATTGTTCCCAACTCTTTACTCCATGACTATATAGGACTACATTCACATCCTTTGCCATGTAGAGTGCATACCCCTGTCCCATTAACTTTGGGTTTGGCCTAAAGGAATTTAACCAACAGAATGCTAAAGAATGTGATGCATGCAAGCAGAGGTTTTAAATGCGCTTGTATGGTTTCTGTTGGCCTCTTGCAGTCTTGCCATTTGCCACGAGAAAAGCATGTTCCCAGCAAGCTCTCATCTCTTCGGCCTGAGTCCCCAATTGAGAGATACATGGAGAAGAGTGAACCTGAGCAGAATCATCCCAGTTAACCTGAAATCCTATGAGCAATAAGTGTTTGTTATTATAAGTCACTGAGACTTTGTAGGATTATTCATTACTTAGCATTATTGCAGTAGCAGCTAACATATACAATAGACACTTAAGTTGTTTTCAGTCCTTTGGTATTGCAACAAAGTGCATGCTTGTCAACTGGTGCACCACTGCACCTTCAACTTTTCTAGTTAATGCTGATTTGTTTTCCAAAGTTTTGTACCCATCTACACTCCACCAGCGGTGTATCAGAGTTTCCGTGCTTCCACGTCCTTGTCAACACTCGGCTTTGTCAGATGTCTGCTGATGTGATGGGTGTGAGATTGCACTGCCTAACTCTTACTCATCTTTCCCTCCCTCTGAGCCTGCTTCCCTAACTCCCCAGTCTGAACCAGATCCTCGTATGCTTGCTTCTCTCACAGTGCTGGTAACATGGCATTGTATTTCTCTTTCAGTCTGTCACCAAACAGAGGGCCCCTGTCCCCCAGCTCCAGTATAGAGGTCAGAACATAGTAGGCCCTCAGTAAATAATTGTTGAATGAAGGTTTAATAAGAAACTTCAATCAAGCTGGTCGGCCCCTGCCCTAGGAGAGTGTACAGGCTGAGACAACTAACTCCTCACAGATACACTACATACATATGTGTGTGTGAAAGGTCAGAGGCTGATTGCTTTTCAGGTGGGTATCTGACTTGGGCTTTGAATGCTACTTGTTTTTATGCTAAAATAGGATCAGACCCAGGTGGATCTCAGAGATTAGCAGTAGCTAGAGTTGTGAGTGAAAGCTAAACCCTAAGGGTCCGGAAATGTTTTGTGGGCAAATGCAATAGAAAAAAAAGCAGGTAAGGGCCGGCCGAGTGGCGCNACTGGCCCTCATATGTGGGATCCGAACCGGGGCCCTCTGGCATCCCAAGCGAGTTCTTAACCATCGTGCCACTCGGCCGGCCCCCCCCCCCAACTCTTTTTTAATGAGACAGGCTAGAATAGAAAATATCACAGGTGGTACCTTATCAGGAAACTTTGATTTCAGTTATATAGGTAGCTGGCCATGATACATAATAACATTATTTTACCATGGGGTCACAGTCAAAACATTCCAAAGTGCCTGGGTCTACAGTGTATTGTACAATAGGATTACAACAGTGTGAAATGTCTGACAGCAAGCCTGGAAGGGAATACAGAGAAACAAAAATAGCAAACGTGTTAAAAGTGGCAAGGTAAAGAACGCTGCTTTTCATTTGTTTTCTGTGATGTTTGTAGGCTGTTCTTACAATAAAACAGGAAAAATAAGTAAGAACACAGGACAAAGAGGAATAACAACAGGTTATTATCAGATTCCCCAAAGCTAAGGGACTCAAGCTGGGACTTCCCCCGAGCAGCAGTGCTTTCAGGATGTGCCTTGAAGATTGGACAGAATTTGAATGGGGGGTGCAGGTAGGCCTCAAAGTGGGTAGGGTAGTCACTAAAAGGATGCAGCGTGAAAAAAAAAAAATCTCTCGGTATTGTAAAGTGCCTTTGAATTAGAGAGAAAAGTGGCAGCTCTACCCTTGGATGGGCCATTATTCTTCCCGGGGCCATCTAGTTATCTATCCTCCCCACAACCCTAGGCTGCGGCTTCAAACTAGAAGTTGCCCCTCATAAACATGGCCGCGCCAAGTTGGCCACGCCCCTCAACAGGATGGCGACCTCCAGTAGTCCCACCTCCCGCTGCCGCGGAGGCCAATGGGGTAGAAGCACGAGTGTTTGCGCATGCGTGATGCCACTGGTGGGCGCGTCCAATAATGACTGGGGGATCCCGGCAATTAACATGACTAAAAAGAAGCGGGAGAATCTGGGCGTCGCTCTAGAGGTGAGGGGAGAAGTGGGTATGGGCCACGTTGTTAGTTGCCTTCTCCCGGCGGCGGGGTAGTGGGTTGGGCCGGCTGCAGGTTGGAGGAGGGGCCAAAGTGAGGAATTAAGGGCGACGCGGGTTTGGGAGATGGACGCGAGGGTTGTGAGAGGGCCCGATGGCGGGGTATCTGGAGTTGAGGGGCACGATGGAGGAACCGAAAGTCGGAGAGCCCGAGGGGCACCCGAGGCGGGAACCGGAGGGGAGGGGACCTCCAGAGGGAGAGAGACGTGAAGGTGAACGGGAGCCCCAAAGAGGGCGGGACGCGGAAATAAGGATGCCCTGAAGGGAGACGTTAAATGAAGAGGACCCAAAAAGGGTGGGCACCCCAAAGGTGAGGGAGCCCATACTGTTTCGTATATTACTAGTGGCTTAGATATCCCCGGAGATGGAAAAAGTTTCCTTTGGGGTACTGAAGCTTGAAAATTACTTGGGGAACTTGTGGGAATTTGTAGAGAATTCTGGAATGGTGGTGTTCCCAAAGAGCTTAAAAATAATTTGCTGCCTATGGAAGGGAAAGAAAATTGATGCATGTTGAACAACTACTATATGCTACTTTGTTTGCATTCTCAGTCCTCACTACAAGCCTGTGAGTTTTTATAGATGAGGAAACTGGTTTCCAGTAGAGAGGTGGAAGCAGTGGAGGAGCTGAGAGTCACACACAGGTGACTTGCCTTCTAGTGCATCTTGTTTCCGCTGTGTTACAATTCCCTTAGACACCCTCCCAGGGGTTGCAAGAGAGATATGGGATAGTAGTTTTTTTGAGCTTACGAACAGTTCGGTGGTTCTCAAACTTAACGCATTAAGGATCATTTGTAGAGCCTGTTACAAATGGAGGGTTGAATTCTCCCCCACCCCCAGGAATTCAGTAGGACTCCGGTGTGCATTTTTAACAGAGAATTTGTGTGTTTTAACAAGGTACATACACTCATGCTGATGCGGGACGTTTTAGTACCACCTCTTGAGAAATACTGGCCTACTTGGTAGGAAAAAAATGTTGATAGAGATACAGATCTCCTAAAAGAGTATAGACGGTAAAATGGGACGGCACTATGTAGTGGCATGAGCATACTCGTAGACTATAGTCTGTATTAGGACATGATAAGCTGCTATAACAGAAACCCCAAAAGATAATGGCTTCAAGAACAAGAAAGTTTCTTTTAATAGGCTAGAGCAGGGATAGGCAGATGTTGTCTGTAAAGGGTCAGATAGTAAATATTTTAGGCTTTGTGGACTGTATGTTCTCTGTTGCAACTACTACAGTTGATCCTCATTATTCATGGAGTCTGCATTTGTGAATTTACCTACTTGCTAAAATGTATTTGTAACACCAAAATCAATACTCGCAATGCTTTTGCACTAATTGATTGCAAACTCAAAGCGGTGAAAAATTGTAGTCACCTGAGGCCCACGCATCCAGCTAAGGTTGAACAAGGTGGTGCTTTGCCAAATTTTTGTTCCATTTCTTATATGGTAAACACGTGTCTTTTGTGTGGTCTATTTAATGCCACATTTTTTGCAATTTTGTGCTTTGCGTTGGTGATTTTGCTGTTTAAAACGGCCCTCAAGAGTAGTGCTGTCCAGGTTTCCAAAGTGCAAGGAGACTGTATATACTTTACAGAGAAAAGATGTGTGTTAGATAAGCTTTGCTCAGGCCTGAGGAATAGTGCTGTTGGTTGTGAGTTCAATGTTAATGAATCAAGACTATTAAAGGGCCGGCCGAGTGGCTCAGTTGGTTAAGAGCTCGCTCAAGAGTGCGAGCTCTGAGCAACAGAGGTTCGACAGTCCAGACCCGAGCTCAGCTAAAAAAAAAAAAAAAAAACTATATATTAAATTAAGTCTCTTTAGAACAGAAATACACACAAAACAAGGTTTTGTGTGATCACTTGATAGTAATGTTGTGACCAGAGGCTCACNCACAGGGACTGCAGCCTACACTGTCGCCAGCGACTCACGGCAGCCCAGCTCCAGGTTGAGCTGCCGTTCAGCATCTTAGCTGTGGAGGGCAGTGTCACTGGCCCTCATATGTAGGATCCGAACCGGGGCCCTCTGGCGTCCCAAGCCTGTTCTTAACCATCGCGCCACTCGGCTGGCCCACCAGCTTGTTTTATAGACATGGAAACTGAGGCTCAGCGAGCTTAAATACCTTGCCCCCAATCACACTGCTGCTAAGTGGCAGAGCTGGGATTGGAATCCAAGTCAGTCACACCCCAAAAGACCCTCTTTTCACTGCGACCCACATAGGCTCTCATTCCAGCCCCATTTCAAGTATTGGTCCTATTATCAGAACCATGGGACAAGGTTTGGTTTGGAAAATTTGAGGCTCTTCAGGGAGAAGGATGACAGCTTGCCCGTTATTTCACGGGGGGTGGGAGAAAGGGACAAGGGACTGACATGAAGAGCAGCCAGATATCCATAGCTTTTTTTTGGAGCCAAACAAATGCAGAAGGAGCCACTTCTATAAGAATACAGTGTTTTTCCTCCTTTTCTCACCCACCCTGGGCCCATGCCTGTGATAATTGAGAAGCACAGTCTGGTTTCTGGGATTAGAACCAATGCTGTGAAGAGTGTTCTGACAATAAATGCTGTTGATTGACAGTTGATGGACAATGTTCTTGAATAAGTTTTTCCTGTGCTGGGTGTTAAGCTGAGAACTGCACTACACAATTGCTCAACAGCCTGCTTACTGTTCAGACAGAATTTACTACACTTTTCCTCTGTGGGCCTCAGCCAGGCAGCCAGGCGAGATGCTATCTCAGGTCCCCTCCAGTTCCATCATTCAATGACTCTATCAAGAAGAGAATACATATCTGAAAACATTTTTTTCCCCACTGAGCTGGGGTTATTATTCACACTCAGAAACACAGGCTCCAACAGAGAGATAACTGGTCAGAAAATAAGGAGCTTTGATTTGAGTCTCATACTCTTTGACCCAATAATTCCACTTGTGTGAATTTATCTTTAAAAATTGAGAAGGACAGAGCTGTGTATTCATAGATGTTTGCTTTAGTATTATCGGAGGTAATGTTCAATAAAATAATGTGCAATACAAGAGTGGGGTATATTTACTTGGTGGCATATACCGCTATCACAGATGATTATTTCAAAGACATGGGAGAATGTCTATGACACTGTTTTTCAATTGCAGTTCAACATTCATCAATGAGTCATGAAATAAACTTAAAAGGTTCTGTGTGGGCTGGCCAAGTGGCTCAGTTGGTTAAGAGCTTGCTCAAAAGTTTGAGCTCTGAGCAACAGCAGTTCGAGTC